TCTTACGGGCCATTTTTGCATACTAGCTTAGTCCTATTTGCGTCCATTGTTTGGCCTTGCTTAAAATTGTAAATATGCTTGTTTTGGACTTTTTTGTTTTGTCTTCACACTTCATGTTCAAATAATGCATTCTTTTGTATAGCTATAGGCCATTGGTGTGCCTAGTTTTGCGTTTCGAGTTTCATTTCATGCATCGGGTACCATATTGCCATGTTTCGGGGCTGTTTGCATCATATTTTGGTACTAAATTTGCATGCTAGTATGCCATATTCCATGCCTTGCCATGCTTTGGTAGAGTGGCATTCGTGCCTTAGGTTCGGTCCTCGTTTGCGTGCATGTTGTGCACGCATTTCGAGTGTCTCATTTTTCATCTCATGGCCTCTTATGTGATGTGGCTGAGGTCCACTCATATTGGTGTAAGTCCATTGTGCATTGTGTATGCCATTCCATTTCATAGCATTCCGTTGCTAGGTTGTATGTTAGAGCATCTGTGTATGCCATGTTACCTCGTGCATCATGTATGCCATTTCATAGCATTGTGCATGCTAGGTTGTATATTAGTTGCATTCATGCTGTTCATGCATATTGCATTGTGTTTGGGATAGGAGTTAGCCCGAGCACGGGAAACGAGGGACGTTTCGTACTTCAGTGACGGAACGTGTCTCAATTCCCAGTCACCGACACTCAGATTATCCATGATGGAGTTTAGGTTTTATTGTGTTTATATGTGCATTCATTTCATATTGAGTCTGCAATTCGACTCCTCGCCATCATGCATCGATATGCGTGATTGGTGGCACGAGGACCGAGGACTACACTCCCTAAAGAGTAGTCATGCATATATATGTGAAAATACTTTCCATGCCCCTTTCTTCTCTCTGTTGCAGCAAATCAGAAATCGACAGCCTTCCGGAGCTTGGCACGCATTCCAAGAACAATTAAAACAGAGAGCAACTGGGCATCGCGAGGGATTCTCCGCACAAGGCAACCCGAGCATGCATCATTCATCATCCGAGGCAGATTTGAGGCATTCCTTGGCTTGCATGCCAATTTATTGCTTTCCTAATTTAATTTGTTAATTAATTAGGTTTTGTGCATATTTGGACTGTAATTATTCATTTGGGACTGTATATTATTTATTGGACCCTTCGCGAGGGCAATGTTGTAATAAGTGTGCGTGTGTGTGATTATGTCTTCCAACCCCACGTCTTTCTCCCTTTTATTTACCCGCTTATGATGGTTAGATTAGGGCATGTTTCAATTAGCATACAGTATGATAGCATGTTTGCATTCATTCATCTGTTTTGCATGCACGGGCTCAGCGCATCATACTAACTGCATTGTATTTTCAATTCCAAGTTGAATACATGTTAGCTGTAGCATTTCATATCCATGTTTAGAATAGCCGAGCCTGCTATAGTTGCATTTTTGCATGTGTTGCATTAGGCATTTCCGTATAATTAGGATCATGCATGAATTTCTAATTAGCTTCTGTTTTGGCTTGGAGTACTCGTAAGTTTTATGCTTTAGCATCCTTGCATGCTGTGAGTGACTGCCATGAATAGCATGCTTACCATGAGGCTATATGCTTATGTGATATAACTGCCTGAATGCCTGTGGGTGAAGGTTGGTTATTTGAATTGGAACAATTCATCAAATGTGTGTTTTAAGCCCACTAGATAGTGGCAAAATCATGTTTTTCTAAGCCCATCCGAGGGTGGCAAATCCACGTCTTAGCCTACTTGCGTACACCATCAAACCACTTTAAAAAAAAAAAACATGAAATGTTTTGTTCCAATTCAGACGATCCAGTCTATACTTGTATGTGTGCGCATCACATAGTAAATTTAGGCTAATAACCGGAATAAGAACGCATAATGTTTTCAAAAATAGATATCATGGTTAGTAGAGGCCGATCTTTGATCGGGCGACGGGGGTGCTCACGAAGTGACCTTCCCCAATCGTACCCAAGTTCCAGAGCCGAGGCAACTTTGGTGATGACGGACACGTGGCCTTAGGCAAACGAGTCAGGGTTTCCTAAATTTTCCCAAAATAAAACATTTAGGTGGTGACTTGTATCTGACAAAGCATCCATGTTTGGCACTTCTTTCAAAATCTGTTTTCTCAAAACGATTTGCCGGATTTGGACTCTTTGGTTCAGATTTAGAACCGTGACAATTAAGAGTCCGAACGGTAGTGACCCCAAATGAACAGAAGGGACTCATCCCTCCCGGCGTTCGGGGACGTCTACATATATATTTTTTCTCATGGTACATCCTAATCCATTATTCCTATTCAATATCTATACTCTTCTTCCCCAAGAGATCAAAGTTTTGTCTTCTTCTTTCTTCTCTTCTTCTTTCTTCTTTCTTCTTCTTCTTTCTTCTTACTCCATAACTCCAATCCACCTTACCAAAACTCACCATTAACATTAACATCATTGTTTTGTTTGATTGTTCAAACTTTCTTCTAACAATGATGTTAATGTTAATGGTGAGTTTTGGTAAGTGGATTGGAGTTTTGGAGTGAGAAAGAAGAAGAAGAAGAAGACAAACTAACTTTGATCTCTTGGGAAAGAAGATGTAGAGATTTGAATAGGAATAATTGATTAGGGTATACCACGAGAAGAAAAAAAAAAATTATTTTAAGGTTTAATATGAATTGTCATTATTAGTAAATTCACATTAAGATATAATAGGAATTAAAATTTATAAATTTAAATTGGGCGTACTAAGATATTTTTTGGGTTCAAATAGAATGCCCCACGCGTGTATACAGAGTATATAACTCATATACTAATTGACCTATCAGTTTTTGGTGGATTACTCCAGCAGTTTTGCAAGAGTAATGGCCTGCATTTGGTGCCAGCCTTGATGGCTGCAGGCTCCTCCTCTCTGCCTATTGTGTATAAAATGAGGCTCATCTTCCTTGGTTTGTTACAAAAAATTTTGGCTTCCAGATATACAGTCAGTTTGCTTGTGCCTACAATTTTTCGTCCTATATGAGAGAGTGCTATCATTGTCGGTTTGCCAAAACTATCAGAAGGTGCTTCTACGTTAGCTAGTTTAAATTGTCGTATCCTGGGAGATAGAAACCGACGTACCTCCAGCACTCACGATGAGGCGGCTAATTTGTTTTTAGAAGACTATGGTATTACACAGGGTTCAGTTTGTGCTTTATTTACCATTTTATTGTATTGTGTATTTCTGCGCAATATCATTGTAAATTCTAACATATTTTCTTAGTCTGTAACTTAATTTGATTAATCATAAATCTATTTATTTTAGTTAATTACATTAATATGTACAACAGTCTCACAATGAAAAGTAATTGAAATTCTGATAAAAAAAAATAGAAAAGAAATGTAATTGAAATCATCAATAAAAACTCATTTTGTAGATATATAAATACGTTAATTAATTAATCACTCAGCCATAATGCTAAAATTCAAGATGATTTCTTTGGACTTTACTAGAATTTGTTGATGTTTCCGAAGATTTACTTCACTAGAATTTGTTGATGTTTCCGATTAAATCTTCTCGTATGTAGATGTTCCATATGAATAAATTCTTATTCCATTCTTCCGGCAAAAAAAAAGTGTAATTTATTCCAAGTCACAACATAAAAAGCCTATTTTTAATATCTTTGATTGATACCATACCAAGATTCATGTTAATCTATTTAATTTTTTATAATTTAATTACATTAATATATAAATTTGAAATTTAATTCATTTTAATTTCCATCTATATACGATTTATCTATTTAGACATATATCTATCAGATTGTAGTCTCATGTACCAAACATTTCCATATCAACCCATCCAATATTTTTGTTCTACAATGTGATGGAGAATAATAGCTAAATGTTTTACAAAATATTATTATTAAAATTCAAAAATAGTAGTGGGAAATTATACATACTTCATTTGCATTATAAGGGTATAGAACACATTTTAATGTTGAAGTTCTGTAATTGACATCACACATCACTTAATGGAAGAGGATTCCATTACTTTCTTTATCTAATCATCATCCATCAGTTGATCCAAAGATCACTACTAGAGATAATGACTAAATATTGCATTGTGACTTTTAGATCAACTACTGAATGAAAAAAAGTATTGGAGAGAATCTGAATCCTCAATAAATACTCATTTCCATGGTGAATTGATCATTCAAGCCAACAAAGCATCTTCTAAAAACCTAATTTTTCTTGGGTTGTGTTTGGTTAAAAGATTTGATAAGACGAATAAAAAGAAAAGAAAAAAAAAATTTCAAATTCAAATTTCAAGTTATGTTTGGTTGAATTGAAAAATAGAGAAAGAAACGAGGCTCAAGTGAACTTAAAAGACAAAATGTAATATTGAATTTCCCTCTCAGTTTCTTTTCCCTTGTATTTTCCAGTATAACCAAACAAAAAGTGAGATTACATTTCCTTTTTCATTCCCATTTTTCTCATCAAATCCTCCAACCAAACACAACCATACTCATCATGATCATAGTTGTCTCTCCTGCTCCTAGTTGTCTCTCCTGTTCAGCATAGACCTAGTCATATCAGTTTTGATCTGTCTTTGGAGCCTCCAATTTCATAGTGGCAACAACTATGTCACTTATGTGCTGCTCTATGCCACTCCCAATCTCTTTCTCTTGATTTTATATTCTTATCTCTATATCTCTGTTTAATTAGATATTTACATCATACTACTGAGCAGCAAATGTTTGATTTTACAAGTCCTCCAGTTCCCGTCATGTTTCATATTTTACTTTTAAATGAAGAAATTCAAAAAAAAAAAAAAACAGAAATCTTTTGCTATGGCAACAACTATTTTCTGCATCTTGCCCATTTTTCTTCAATTTCCACTACCAATGTTGTTTTTTAGTCTCTATTTCTTTTTTTTTCTTTTCCTTTATTTAACAAAAAAATGCAACCATTCTCTTTATCTCAATGTTTTATGGTCGCCATATTTACCTTTGAAATCAAGACAAGCTTTCCACTGCTTCAAATGACTCACTAAATAAGATAGGAACATGCATTCATCACCTATAATGAAGAACAACATTTTTTTTTTTTTCATTTTGAAAATATGATACAATTGCTTCATATGCACCAAACACCATTGCAATGGAGAAATTGGATCAATCTAACATCATCATCACCGAGGCCAATTGACAAGACGAAGCTTACTCATACAGGAACAGGGCTCAACCCGGATGGAAGTTGAATGTCGGCAGCATATTTCCTCGCCCACAAGTCATAATGTATGATTTCCTCTAGGGAAGGTGCAGTCACCAACTCTGCTTGATGCTTATCACATGTAAGCTCCACAATCTTAAAAATGTCAAGGTAGTTTATCCTGAAAAACATGGAAACAACTCATAAGATACAATTTTCTGTCTCTCAAGGTATATGGAATCAAAGTTAAACAGGAAAATTGTCGATGTGCCCGTGTATGTCCAACTCATGATACACTTATGTTGAATAACATTAGCATTCGGTGTTGAGATAGAGTAGATCCTAATAAGTACTGGACTAACCAGTCAACCGAACTTCAGAGTAAGGGTATTTATGGTACTTCCGCACTTATAACCTGTTGCCCTATTTTCTATGTATTTATAGTTGAAGGGAGGCGATTATCTCTGGTAATTTCTTTGTAACATTTCTTATCATAGTGAAAATTGCAGCAATTGTGGACATAGCCCTAACAAAACCACATAAACTTCATATTCTTCAGGTGTGCGTGTGATTTATCTTTTTTGTGTGTTTATAATTTTTTGTGTTTTAACAAGTGTTACGGATTCCTAACATTTGGGACTCAACTTGATGTTTGTCTAAAGATTGTCAGGAACATGAATCCTACAGGCAAAGTACATTTCAACAAGTTAAAAACTAATGAATTTATCTTCTTTCCCACATTCATGTTTGCTTTGATCCGTACTAACATAGGCTTAGGGGACAAGTACATTATCTAGGTCATAGAGCTTTCTCCAACGCTTTCCCAGTTATCACATATTTAGCACGAAGGTTATTCGAGAACAATGAAAATTTAGAATTTGGAACAAATTAGTGAACGCAACAAAATGATCTCATGAGTTCATGCATGATTAATCTAAAGAAAGGAATAACCTTGAGTGTATCAACAAAATGTACAGAAATTACAAGAAACATTCACAGGAATACAAGTAAAAAGAAAATCAGGATAAATTAATTTGGTATCAACAGTCATGGGCAGATGATCAACAGCTACAACTAATGAAAATGTTTAATATATTACTCCAATCCTTGCAAGTATTTTTGAATGAAAATGTTTAATATAATATTTTTTGAATGATATATACATAAAAATAAACTTTTTGAAGGAAATTTGATGTGTTCGTGTGTCATTAAATGCAACTCTCCTTTAATTCTAACATATAAGACGCTGCATATGACCAAATATTTTCTTCACTTACAGGTCCATGGACCTTGTCTAAAACCTCCTTTAAGATGACAAGTACAAAGGCTATGACTTATTGTTGACTTCATGCTCTAAAAATGAAAAACTCATTGGCACAAAGGTGTCGCAGAAACTATCAGTAAATCAAACACAATCTTGGTCCATTGAATAATCCAATGGTAAATACAGATTTCGAACAGCAGGGGTAACTATCAAGAAGCAAATTACATACTTTTCATCAATGAACATCTCTACAGCTTTCTCATTTGCTGCACTAAGAACACCTGTCATGGTGCCTCCTGCCCGACCAGCAGCATAGGCCAGATCCATGGATGGGTATTTCACATTGTCAGGAGCTTTAAAGGTTAGTGATCCAAGCCTGTAATATCCAATTCAACCATTTCAATCAAAATAAGCAAATTGATGATGAATTTAATGAATTCTATCACACTTGGTGCAGTATGTTAAAAAAGTAAGAAAATAAAAATATTGCAGTATTCTAGGTTATTGGGTTATGGACTTCATGGCCAAATAAACAGATTCATGAAATGGTTTTCATTCACTGTTGTACAAAAGGCTGGTTCATGTAGCATTGACAATGAGCTGAAGTGTAGAACTGAACACTAGCACTATCAAGTTGACAATGAGCACAACTAAAACAAGAATATTGATGATTTAGCTCCTTTTTTTAATAATAATAGATTATCGAAAAAAGGTTGCACCGGTCTCAGAATAAGTCGGGGTTTACCTGCACATCCAATTATCAAATAAATAAATAAATAATACAACGAGAACAGATTAACACTATTCCTCGTTTACAATGCAGTAAAACTTTAATTTTATATGAAAACGCACACAGAATGACAAGGCCCATTTGGTAATCTTGTGATGAAAGAACCCAAAGCAAATGCATTATTCATCTGTCATTACCATCTTATTTTGTTTTTACAAAATGCAACTAGTTAGTTGGATGTATGAAAACAATAGCATAGTGATACTATACTTATTCTTTGATCACTTCATGAATCACAAAATTTAAACTTCACCTGAATTAAGCTGTAAA